GTGGTTGGGATCTACACTAATAGCTAACTCCCATTCGAAGTAATTACCCCGTCTAGTAGGTTTACCCGGTGTCTATGATTCAACTCCACTTCGAAGTAATTACTTTGTCTACTAGGTTTACCCACTAACTATGATTCACTAAAGCAATAAGAATTTTTTTATAATATAGTTCAAACATTATACAAATACGTCTTAGTATAATGCGACCAGACACATACACACACACACACACTCTCTCTCTCTCTCTTACACTTACACTTACACTTACAGGTATAATATATAAGATAACACTCAACTATATGTTATAATATGAAGTATGTAAGTAGAGATTTTTTTTAATTATTTATGTAAGGAAGTAGAAAATATTAATGTGGTAAATTAGTAGCTTAAATCTTGAAATTAGCAGGGGAAGTTATCAAAATTCATCAAGTAAATGTTGTGAAATAAGTTAGCATTACTTATATATTTAATTGTTAATTTAAAACATCCTAAAAATGCAACCAAAATTTTCATTTTAAATCATTACAAAAAACCATGAATAATCAAACTTCACATCAAAACATAAGTCATGTAACTCGAAACATCATAAATCTGTCAATGTATCAAAACATGTATCAAATATCAGAGTAAATATCACAGGCTGGAAATTATGGTGTGTGTCATGCGATCATCCCGAGCTCTTCCCCTTGCTAGCTGAAGTACCTGAAATCAAATTGAAAATTGTAAGCACAAAGCTTAGTGAGCTCCCCCAAACTACCACATATCATACGTATAACATATAACATATCTAGGCCCCACCCCTGCTACATCGAGTCTAGCTCCGCATCGGCTTTCCCGACATCACGCCCCGCCAGGCATCGAACCCTATTCGATGTCGGGCCCCACCCGGCATCGAGCAGATCTCAACATACATAATAACATATCAACTAACATATAACATAGCACATGTATTAATATGAAAACATTCCTCGGGTCCCACCCAACATCAGAATGAGGTCCAAAAACATACTATCGTATCATAATACCAAGACATTCCTCGTGCTTACACCGACATCAGACCAAAATCTAGAAACATACTAACATTCCTCGGGAACTGCCCCGGCATCGGACCGGAGTCCGGAAACATACTATCATACATACTAGCTAGATATTCCCCGGGCTTGCCCTGACATCAAACCAAAATCCGAAACTCCTAACACATAACAAACACATGCAAGAATTACAAAGACAGCAATCATACAAACATACAAGCATTCCTCGAGGCATCGGATCAATATCCGAAAAAAAAACATATAACCCTACATCAGGCCCCGCCCGACATCGGACCGTAATCTGGAACTACTGCTAACTAAACGGGTCGCCCTTGGTGCCTTAGACCCGTTCCTACAGGAGAAAACTCACCTTGCAAAGTTGTTTGTGAAATCTCGCGGTGAAGAATATCTTATAGTTGCTCCAACGTCTCCTTGGCTATCAAAATCACAATAATACTTAGTCAAGATCTAAAAATCCTTCTAAGGGTAAAATAACTATTTTACCTTTGGTAAAAGTCAATGCTCTCGGTCAAGGTCAAAACCAATGTCAACTCCCAGTTAACCCAACTCGCCGAGTTATCTGCTAACTCGTCGAGTCCTATACTATCAGTCCCATGATAAATTGAATCAACTCATCGAGTCCCTTCGCAGACTCGCCGAGTTCTATCTAATACAGACTCGGGACAAGACGAGTCAACTCGTCGAGTCCCTTCACAGGCTCGTCGAGTTCTTCAACTTCTTAGTCTATATCTTGTCCATCTAGATGAGTTACTTACTAACTCAACGACCTCACTCGAAAACAAAAAAGGTTTGGGGACCACGACTCGACTCGCCGAGTCACATGAACAACTCGTCAAGTCCCTTGAATGCCAAAACCATACAGTCAATTCTAATCACTTCTAATGCTTCCATCTCACAGATCTAGACTCCTTAGGTTAGCATAACACGTAAAGTTGCTAACTATACGTGCATGCATGGTGTTATGAATCTAAAACACCAAAACCAAGCTAAAATGAAGACCTAATGCATGGAATGAGGTCATGGCTGAATAAAGGTGGTAACTTTTAGCTTCTAAAGCTCAAGAATGCCCATATCTGAAGTCCTTACGTCCCCAGAAGCTCATAACCCGGAAATGGCCTTGGAAATGGCCCAAAAAATGACAACATGCAACCCTACAAGAAGATTTAAGTGAAAATAAGCCAAGGTATAAGATTTATACCTCGAAAGGATCTAAAATGCAACACATGCTCTGGATCTACTGCTTCTTCTTGAATCACCAAGGGTCTCCTTCCTTCTCCTAGCTTCAAAACACACAAAATGGCAAGAAACTAGCTTAATAACACACAAGGTTGATTAGGGTTTTGATAGTGGGCTATGGAGGTGATGGAGGCTGGGGTGGAGGCCTGATATGATGCTTAAATAGGGCGCAAACCCTAAAGATTAGGGTTTCCTCCTGACGGACCTACTCGTCAAGTTAAGGCTTTCGACTTGTCGAGTAGACCACTTAAAGGCCGCGTCCACACTGACATCTACTCGACGAGTTAGGGCTACCAACTTGTCAAATGGCTCTTACAAAATACATTCTTAAATAAATTAGATACATACCAAGAACAAGACGTTACATAATTGTAAACTAAGTACCAAAGGGCCTTTGGCCTAACAGTAAGAAGTGACACTCTAAAATGAGAGGTCATGAGTTCAAGTATTATCATGATATATAGGTGGTTTTTGGAGTAGGTTAGTTTTTTGGTTAAAAAAAAACTATAAACTAAGTCAAACCATGAAGATTAAGAACATCATTAACCATCCAGATCCATACAACTAACCATATTTTGAGACTTTTCAATCTAACACAATTAACAAATATTTAATGTCTCTAAAGGGAACAAATCAAAATTTGAAGTTCTTGGTGCGAGGTTTATAAAATAAAATAAAATAACCAAGCGGATTCTATATGAAATATTCATTAGTGATATATCCCGGATCTAGTAAAACTCAACCTAAGTTTTATATTTTATTAAAAAAAATTAATTTTATAAAGTATGATAAATTAACTACAATATTATTAATCAGGGGTTCTTTTTGTAATTCATAATTTTCTTATTCTAATAAAAGAATAGATTTATTATCCTTCTTACATGAGTCAAAGTATTACGCCTCCTTATTAATTTCACAGGTCACCACTTTTGTGGTTCTCGCTTTTGAATTGTACTTTTCCGCTTGAATAAGTTTCTATAAAAAAAAATTAGAATTCACTTCGTTTCCTTGGGACTTGGTACGCCATGGAAAACTTTAATACATTACTAGGAGGCACCTATGATGTTTAGGTTATAGTTATTCTCTTATGGGTGTTGCAAATTTAACCAATAAAAAAACCTTAAAAATCAAATAGGGTGTCCAAATGGAAAATTGGGGTGTCTTTTTAACCAATCTCTTAATTTAATTACTTAAGTTAAAACATTACAATTAAAATCTAAATTTAAAGTTAAACAAATTACAGGGTGATATAGTTACAGATTTCACAAAATAAATATATTTTTTTTAGAACATTACGGTTAATATGTAAATTTAAAATTAAACAAATTACAAAGTGATGTATTTACAGATTTTACAAAACAACTGAAATGTAATATGTAAATTTAAAATTATATAAATTACAAGGTGATCTATTTACAAATTTTACAACACAAATAGCTCAATACAAGTGAGAAATATCCAGTGTGTACATACTTAAATTTCAAAAAGAAAAAAACATATAAGATATACCAAATTAACAAACATCATTGGCAATACTTAAACAATGTAATCCGGTAAACAATTTATTACATATCAAAAAATCGGAAAATGTAAATATAATACATTCAAATGGTTTTGACAAATTTAAATATACAAATAATATTATATTATGATTGATTATTAAAGACGTTATATTATGGAATATTAATTCTAATATGATTTGCATATGAATTGAATGTCTTCCATATAACATTACATTATATTAGGAAAATATATTATGAATATAATAAATTGAATAAATTTCATCTCACCGATATTATATAAATCACAACATCCATAACGATTTTGATAGTTTTGGTTTTTTCTCTAGGGATTTTTTTTCTTCTCCAGTATTTCATACTACAAGGTACTACAAATCTATTGTTTGTTTGTTTCATAACAATTCAAACCCATTAATAATAAATGTTTTTCCTTTCCTGTATAAAAAAAACAATTTATGTTTTCGTTTTATGTATATATCATTTTTTTTTTGTATTAATATAACCTCCAACCAACTATATTGCTATTTTCGAAAAACTTCATATACAAGTAATATGAATTTATACTACATTTTCAAACTATAAATTTACCTTGACAATATATCTTTTCTAAAGCCTTTAACAATATCAATAATATATTTTTTGCTTTTCAGTATACAAATTTATTTTTTCGTTTTTTGTTTTTGGTTGTTGTATGATATCATGTGTTTCCTTTTTCTGTAAAAAAAAAAAAAAAACCTATTTATTTATTTTAATAATTAGAAAATAAAAGAGCTCTCTCTCTCTCTCTCTCTCTCTTCCTCTTTGTCTTCATTTGGTCGACGAAAGCTGAGAAGAATAAAGCCATAATCGAAGGGTACCAGTCGTGGTTAAACGGATCGCATAGTGGGGAGGAGGAAGGGCGTCGACACTGCAGGGCCGCTTCGACGACCTACTTTGTCTTTTGGTCCAATCAATTGCAACATAGGAAGGAAAAGAGGATTGATCGGGAATCAAACCAATAGTAACTATCGGTGGTCCTGTGGAATTTAATCGAGCAATAATGGTGAAAATCGAGACTTGTGGTGGTTGTGTTTGGTCTGTTAGTCAAACGAAAGGGAATGGGTCTTCGATTCCCATCTAATTGGAGACGAAAAAGGACTAAAAGCAACAACAATCTTCTTTCTTTATTCTTTTCCTGATTCGCTATGAAGCACTAAGGAAGGAATTGATTTTTCCGGCGGTTCAAGGGTTCATTTGGGGTTGTGGGGGTTGAGAAGGGTAGCAACAGCCAGAGAGGGTGCTTGTGGTGGTGTTTCTCGGCAGAAGGAGGAAGGGAAGGGGATATGGAGGTGACGGCAGTGGGGAACCGGGAAAACATCACTGGTGATTCTAGTTCTTCGACAGGGGAAGGAGACAAACAGGAAGACAGTTGTTGAGAGGGCTGTGAAGGGGTATCGGGATAGTACACAACAATTCCGGGGATGTTTGCTACGGGTGCTTGGTGGAAATAGGCGGAGAAGGTTGGGTCTGCTACTACTAGCGAAGAATCACCGATCCTTTCCTTCTTCTTCACTGGTTCTACAATGAGAGTGGGTGTTTTGGGTGATGGATCATCAAGAAGATGAGAGAGAGAGAGAGAGAGAGAGAGAGTGTGTGTGTGAGAGAGAGAGAGATAGAGATAGATACCTCTTTTATTTTTTTAATTATTAAAATAAATAAATAGGTATTAGTTTTTTTTGTTTTTTTTAAAAGAGGAATATATCTTTTTCATGTGAAAAAATGATCCCTTAGAAATGAAAACAAAAGTATACCCTCATGTAGGAGGCACATGAGGGGGTTAACAATAACAACAACTTAACGGAAGTTAAGTCAGAGACTAATTCTACGTACAAACTATGCCAGAAGGACCATGAATCCAAAAAAGTCGAGGTTTGGACTGAAACCCCCCAAAAATGCATACCACAGGGACATCATAGTCCATACAGGTTATAAACTACTATTAAGATATAGAAGAGACCCTTGGAACAACTTTTGAAACATCCAAAAAATATAGACCAAAAATTTCGTTTTTAATTATTAATAAACCATAGTTATCCAAAACACATGTCGTAATATCTCAAACATCATATCAATGTATATCAAAATATCAAAGTATAAACATCTCAAGCTAAACAAATGGAGTGTGCGTTGCAATCATCCCGAGCCCTTTCCCCTTGCTACCGGAAGTACCTGAAACTAAAACTAAAAACTATAAGCACAAAGATTAGTGAGTCTCTCTAAACTACCACATACTTTGATAAAATTCTAGCTTTTTATTTATCAGAAAGAAGTATGCAAATTTAAAAAGATGAGTCTATGTCTGCTTAAAGAAGACTTTCAGATCCTTTTAGTTTTTAAGTTTACGATCTTCTAAAAAACAAATACTCTGCAAGAGAAAACGTATATGCAATGTCAGTACAATGCAAACAAAAAAGGTTACAAAGTTCTTCTTGAAAATAAAAAAACATCATCATGTAAGATTATGTTTGACATACTAGCTGAAAAACTAGTTGTTGTATGAAAAGCTAGCTAATAGTTAGTTTTGATAGAAAATAACGTTCGGTAAAAGTAACCGATAAGGTAGCTAAAAAATGACATAAAAAACATCAAAAAAAAATATATGTTATGTATAATTAATTAAGGGGTATATTTGAATTTTTTTAAAACATTCCTAAAAAACTAGTCTAAATAGTTTTTAAAAAACTAACTTATAAACTATTTTTTTTTTGTTTGTCAAATATAACAACTTATAAAAACTCAAAATATAAACTAACTTATTAGTTTTCCGAGAAGCGTCAAACACAGCCTAAATATTTATACATGTTGTAGTTTTTCCTATTATAAATACTAATTCTATGAGTAATCAATGACTCACATGTATTTCACTCGTATGTACGAAAATTCTTTTAGTGAACATCAATTGCTCCACGTATATTTTATACAAATATCTACAAAAATCCATCAAGTTTCTAAAAAATAGTTATATGACACGTTAGTTCTTTTGAGTAGTAAAAAATCAAGTATCATGATCAAGTTTTAGAGAACTAAAACCAAACTAATATTCCTTGATCATCAGTCAAACTCTCCACTATCACCCCGTCCTATCGACAGGGCCCACAACATGTTAAATAGACAACGACTCGTGTTTGCTTTTCGAATAAGGCACTTTCAATAATTCAGCCGACAGACACTTTCAGTACTCCGTTTTCATTTTCAGAATCTGGATTTAAAGCAGTTTCTGGTTTCATGAAAAGTCTATTCACCATTCAAGACCCAAATCAAGACAAACCCAATTAATTGATAGTATCAGTAAAAACAAATACTATAATTCAAATTTCATCAATGAAATGTTGTCTATGTCTTTATTATGGGCTTCAATCTCAAAATCAATGGCTAGGCCCAACTTATGGGTCCCACGAAAACTTTCTAAATAAAAAAAAAAAACATAATAGAATACTGAATTTGTGGCAAAAATGAAAATATCGAATAAACGACCAAAACGGGTAAGTATTTAATACAAATCAAATCACATTAGATCTTCAAATGTCTTATGTCCTTTTCAAATTTGATATATAAAATTTTAATATGTCAAAAAAAAAAAAACTATATATCTCTTTTTAAATGACATAATTTCAACCGAGATATTTAATAAAAAAAACTTTCATTCTTAAAGAAAGATATGTTCGGTATCACACCCTACACACACAACATGCATAACAACAAATACAAGTTTCATAAGCATAGACATTACATATATCACATATAGTAGACCATATTTCAACTTAGAAAAAACGAAGAATCAAGAACCGATTTGTGATTCTTTCCAAAGTTACGCCCTCGAATACACTCCAAATCCAGCACTTGAGAATGATCAACAAAAAGGTTAACCTGTCTCCCATCAATCCATATGGAAAGGAATAAAAAAAACTGGTATTTACATAACATGACACAAAATAGGACTGATATTTACATGACATGATAGAGTCTTGTAAGTGACTGAAATTGTTGTCAATGGGACAAAAAAATGTAACTTTAATGGAAAAATAATGTGGGACCATGCAAAAGACTGAAAATAACCCAAGGAACATTGTCTTGTCAGTCAAGTCTTGTACTGTGTAACTTTATTGGAAAACTGTTATGGGACTGAAACACTATCCTATCAGTCAAGTCATGTACTTTGTAACAAATACAAATGCAGTATGAAGGGTAAGAAAGTACATTTGGGCCGTATTGCTTAATGAACCATTCGGAGGTTTTGGGATTTGATGTTTCAAACATGGCCTTTTCGAGTCCTAGACGCCCAACCACCTTTGCTATGATGTCCGCTCTAACAGAATTGGGGTATCTACAGACGTCTTCTGCATCGATTGTTATCATGTCTGCTCCTGCTTCCAAGCATCTCTCGGCTCTTCTAATCAAAAAGTCCACATCCTCCACACGTTCTGTTCATTATACAGACAGTTGGTATCACGCATTTGTTACACAGGACAAGATAGAACATCATGACCTTGTACTGTAGTTTTTGTCCTATTGGCATCAGTCTAGTCTAGTCCTAGTCTGATCTGATGCATGCCAATTGCAGCACAAGGTCGTCATATTGTGTCTTGTCGAAGCAATGAAAACCACAAAAAATTACTGAAATCCTAAAGTTAAAATATAAAATGACAATTTTACCCTTGTAACGTTTGTTCTCATTTTTGGATTTGGTCCAAAAAAGAATATTTTTCCCCTTTTGATCCATATTTCATTGTTTCATAATGCTTTGAGTCCTTGAGTCGAGCACGGTTTTTGGAGGGACCCAAAAGCATATAAAATGACCATTTTACCCTCATAACACTTTAAACATTTTTAAGATTTGATCCGAAAAGTAAATCTTTTTTTTCCTTTTTGATCCATATTTTATTGTTTCATAATGCTTTTAGTCCCCAAGTCAGAGTCAAACATGGTTAATGGCAGAACCCAAAAAGCATATAAAATGACAATTTTACCCCCATAACACTTTTAGTCCTTTTTAGGGCTTGGTCCAAAAAGTAATATTTTTTTTCTTTTTTTTCTTTTTGATCAATGTTTCATAATGCTTTTAGTCACCGAATCAAACATAGTTATCGGAAGGATCCAAAAAGCATATAAAATGACTATTTTGCCCTCATAATGCTTTTTGTCCTTCAAAAGCTCATGTCGAAAAGGAAAGAAAGTGGAGTCTTAATTACCAGATGTTCGAGGTGTTGGAACAACATAAGCACCATAAGCTCTTGCACGGGTTGGAGGAATGTCAGCCTTATTGAACTTAACAGCAAACTGAGGTTTAGCTTTAAGCCCCTCACTCTTAATTAACCTTATGTATCTCAACAGAGTTTCTTCAGGAAGTTCAAGTGAACCCATATTTAGCTCAACTGTATCGAATCCCAGCTGCTTACATTCCTATTATGGTCATAGAATACAATTTATTAGGGTGGAATTGGAAGTCAAGAAATAAGTGAAATGTGATTTGACTTTTTGTGACACTAGCTAATTACCTCTATATACTCTTTGAAAGAAGATGCACCTTTTTGAAGCAGATATTCAGCCCAATCACCTGTACTAACATATATATCATGTTCATGAGCTAATTTTGTTGCTTCTTTAATGAAGGATTTTGGCATCAAACTTTCAGAGCCTCCTGTAAACTTCAAACCATCAACAAACTGCCCCACAGACTCCAACATATCCTGACCCAATTAGAAAACCAGTAAACCATTATTACCAACATGTGCAATCAAGAATTGTATTTCCACATGACCTAAATTGGTTTAAAGCTATATTGAATATCCTCAAGAATTTTGATTCTTGCTATGATGCACAGAGGATCAAGTTCTCTTATGTAAAAGCTATGTTTAGTTTAAGAAATTGCTGTAATTTGTAAGGTCATACTTTCCTGTGTTAAAGATTTGATAAGCCTGTGTTAAAGGATATATCACTTGCTTCAAGGAACTCAACCTATTGAATATCAAAATAATTTTGCTTCTTACTACAAATTGCATAATATAAGTTGATGATGCACATAAGAATGAATTCTCCTGGATAGAGACTATATTTAATTGAATATCACAATCATTTTCACAACCGGATTGCATAATACAGCTGATGATGCTCAGAGGACCAAAAGTAGAAGCTATAATTAGCTGAAGCAGCAACTAATCACCAAATCAGAATTGTAATGCAATTAATTGATCCGAGTACAAATTGCATAATATGAGCTTATCATCCGTAGAAAAACAAAAAATCCTATGTATGAGTTATAATTAGTTTAAATATCAGTTAATCACCAAATCAACGTTAAAATGCAGATAATCGATCTTACTACAAATTGCATAATGCGATCTGATCATACAGAGGGGAATTACTCTATGTAGGAGTTGAAATAAGTTGAAGAAACAATAATTCAACAAAACAACATTAGAACGCAGTACACTGATGAATGATGATGATGATGAGAGAGAGAGAGAGAGAGAGAGAGAGACCTGAAGCAAGTTGTGAGAGAAGAGAGAGTTGTGATTTGGGCCACGAATCTCCGTTACACCGAATCTCCGAGGTTTTTCAGGGCGGTCTTGGTCCTCGACGAAGCTCTTCCATCTGTAAGTCGCCATAGTTGATTAATTTATCAATGGCCGAGCTTCCGGAGCTGAATTTGTGTGAATTTTCCGGTGGAAGGATGGGGAAAATGGTAAAAAGTAGAAGCATGTAGATAAGCTGGGAAGCAGATTCTAGAAAGTGTAGGAAGCTATGATCATGATATTGATCTTCCTCGTGTTTCTTTTACGTGTCAATTGCCACGTCAAAAATACTTTTCAGTTTTCACCATCAAGGCTACAGGGAGTGGTACGCCTACCGTAGTCTCCTCATTATTTATTTATTATTTTTTTACCATATCATCATTTACACATTCTCTATTCTCTATAAACTCTTGACAATTAAAAATGTCATTTTTTTCCTCTTAATAATTATTTAATGGGTCAAGGATTTTCAACTAGAGTTTAATTTTCCCATTTAAATATGCATGGTAGAGGCTTTTAGGTTGTGTTTATTACACATGCAGAACAAGACATTTTGAGATAACATTTGGTATGAACCGGACTAGGATGCAATTAGACAAATACCAGGTCAAAATTTTCTAAATTTTAGTCTCATCAAAAAAAATAAAACAACTATTTAAACTTTAAGGTTTAGATTAAGTCTCTTATATAATCTCATTTATATGAGGTTTAACATTACTATTTATCAATGAAGCAATCTATTATTTTACATGGTATCAGAATTTTAGGTTAAAACTTTATTTAAACCCTAATCACTAACAACAGAATGAAAAAAACATATTTGGACTAAAATGCCCCAAGATTGTCAAACCATTCTCGTTTTTTTCTTTATGTTAAAAAATTGAAATTAAGCTTTTTGAGTGGTTTCTTATTTGATTTTTTGGATTCGATCACCACATTGCAATTCATGTATGCATGGCTATATGGGTTTGATATGGAGTTGGCTACGATGGCAATACATGCAAAAGTGACTCATCAAAACCTAATTTTGTTAATTTTGTGTCGAGGCCTTTACTTATCTGTCCCATAGTTTGATTTTCATAAAGATTAAACAATTAAATATTTAATTACTATGTTGCAGGGATAGCAGGAAAGGTATAACCCATCAAAACGGCAAAACCAAATTTTGTTAATTTGTACTCATGCATGGTTATGTCACCAATAATATGATAACTTAAGGGGCAATTACTAATCTAGCATAGTTAAGGAAGTAGTTAACTATTTTTAGCCAAAAATTAGGAATTATTTCAAAATAGCCCACGAAATCTAGGTAATTAGAGCGGATTATTGTTTCGCCAAATGGTTTGCTGTTTCGTGGTAAATATTAAAAAATATCATTTTGAACTTGTAAAATCGTAGGTTTTTTGGAAACCTACGGTTTCCTCTCAATCTACAGTTTCGTTAATTTTTTTTAAAAGTTTTTTGAAAAAAAAAATCATGAAATCATAACTTATTATATATGATGGCTTACGAGGTTACAACAAATTAAAAAAAAAATGTAGGCTTCATACAAAACTTACGGTGTACAAGTCCACACTGCACAATATGTGCATTGTGCACTTGTACATCGTATGTTTCGTATCAAACCTACAGTTATAATATTTTTTTTTTCGTTTTTTTAAAGTTATCCTTATATACAAAAACTACTCTTAACCAACAATACGGTAAAATTTTGATAAAAATGGACGTACTTCGTTGTTCTTCGGGTGCTCAATTGAGAGAAAAAAATAGGTAAAACCAAAAAATAATAGTCAAAATAATCTAATCTGAAAAATTATACATTATATAGTATGGGACAATGGGCCGTGAAAGAGTAGACGGGCCGGAAAACAGTAGCTCATTGCTATGAAATAGTAGTTTTCTGTTGTTGACCGTAGTCAATCCTGACCAATCTACTATTTCGTTGGTTATTTTTGGCTAATGTGTTTTTTTTTTGCTATTTTTAAATAAATAATTAGTATTTTAGGCTAAATTAGTAACTCCCCATAACTTAAAATGGTTGAAAATGAATAACCTCTCGTGTATGTATTTTTCATATTATAATCATTTACATTTAAAAGAATTTCAAGAAAAACATGGTAATTAAGCTGATGTCACCCTTACCACACTTTTTCTCTATCATGTTGGAGCCACCTCACAACCATGTCATTTTCACCACAAAAATATGGTTTCTTTGTCACACATTAGATGAGGATATCATTATATATATATATATATATATATATATATATATATATATATATATATATATATATATATATATATATATATACTTTTCTATAAAACAATTCAATTTTAATAAAAAAACACAAATTTCATTACTTAAAAAAAACATAACATTTCATTACTTAAAAGAAAACATAATATGACATTAAAAAGAACTAATTAACTTAACTTTTTTAACATTGACTTTTATCGTCAAAACAATTTCAAACTCCTCCGTGGTCATGTAACTTGTGTTTAGCGTTTGTACTTTCATGTTATTATCCATTTGTTTCATAAGCTCTCTTTTGGAAAAAAAAATTGCAAAAAGTTGTCTATTCTTTCTTTTATAGCCTTCACCTGGCCCCAATCGTTTTAAAGTCATCTAAATCTACCGCTTTCCTATGTCTTTACGTTTTGCTTTGTTCTTTCTCGTTGGTCAGGAAGGTGGTGTAACTTGAACGAATTCATCATCATTGGGGTCGATCCCAACACGAGCAACTGGTGTAGTATGTTCGGATTCGAATGTTCTTGAGCATTTTGAATCACTATCGATATGCTCGTCAGATGTTTTTCTTTTTTTCATTTTTTTTATACTTCACGACATTTCAAAACTCAATAAACTTGAAAGTCTTTATGTTTTCTTGATGGGACACTTTTAGAGCTTTCTTCAAATTCAGATCATCACTTTCTCAACTTTTCCATTAATGTTACATGTTGTTATACAACTCATTAAATAACATGGCTTTCTTGTTTGTTTTCCGATATTAGGAATACACTTGGTCTTTTGAACGACACATTGCCTGCTTCATTCCTTTGCGGAATCTTTTTGTAACTTGTCTCCAAAAATGGTCATGTTTTTAGTCTTTTCTTGTCTTCACATCTTTGGAAACATCGATACATGCTTGTGCCAACGCTAACACTTCTTCACGTTCCCATGCTTTGGCCAACACCTTCTCTTTTTCTGGTTCTTTGGTGGGTTGGGTTTCTCGAACGATTTCAGTTTTCGAAACGAAATCAGGTGCTTGAATTTATCGAACGAATTCAGGTTGGGATAAAGAATCAAACGAATTAAAGTTAGCTTTGGGTACGCTTTGTGTTTATGGTTGTGGTTTGTTATGGATATTATTGCGGATATTACGGCAACATACCACCATAGTAATAAACGGGGGGCGAATAAATAAGTTCATCATAAGAAGGTCTTGGGGTGTTTCCAGTGATGTATTTTAGTTGGTTGGGTTGTAGGAAGAAGACTTTTAAAGACTATTGAGAGAAAGATATAGAAAGATAATAAAAAAGGATTTATGTGTGGTAAATTAAGGGTTATAAAGCTTTATTTATAGGTAAAAAGAAAAAAATGAATTTCAAAAAATTTGACCTTTCAAACCTAGAGAAAAAATAATAATAAAAAAGAGAGAGAAAGAGAGAGAGAGAGAGAGAGAGAGAGAGAGAGGATGCGGTAGGCTAAACCACGATGGAGACCGCATGGTGGGGGCGGTATTCCCGATCCAGTGTGGCAAACCGTGACGGACACCGTACCCATACCATCTGGTCCTATTAAAAAAAGTAATTTAGTAATCTCAACAGTGAGTTTCGTTGTGTCATATTGTCATAGTCTTGTCAAACACAATACAAACAAGTTGTTTAGTCCACTCTCATACCGTCTAGTCCGATTCAGTTCTATGCACCAAACATTATCTTACGATAGATGTAGTCTATCTCCCTCAACCCTTCCAACCTTTTTGCTACATTAGAGTGGTATCATTTTTTTTTCTCTTCTCTCATTTACATCCCTCTCAACTGCAACTATAAATAATCCAACTGTCTCAATCCATGCCCAACTACAATGAAGCATATGTTACAAGCTAAGAGTGCACATGAAAGAGAAAAGAGCAAGATGAGCAGGTCCAGAAAGGTGGTGAACCCTCCAAACCCTCATCTAGTACTAACTGTCAACTTAAAGATTAACCCATACCCAACTACAATGAAGCATATGTTACAAGCAAAGGGTGCACATGAAAGAGAAAAGAGCAAGATGAGCAGGTCCAAAGAGGTGGTGAACACTCTAAACCCTCAAGAGGTGGTGAACCCTCCAAACCCTCATCTAGTACCAACTCTCAACTTAAAGATTAGGGATCTCATATTCTTAGGAGGGACTAGGGTTTGAATCTTATCATTACCTCCCTCCTCCTCTACCACCTCACCCACACACCACAAGTTTATTTATTTTTTATTTGATTTCATAAAAATGTTTATTGTTGCCTCTCCCCGTCAAAGCTTTTCACCCAAACTTTTTCTTTTTATATAAATTGACCGTAATTTTGCTTTCTTTTAAAGATTTGGAAGAATTATTTTTATAATTTCCTCCCATCTTTTTATTACGATTTTGTCCCAATTTAAAATGTATTTTAAAATTTTGATTCAAAAATCAACTACTTTTTTTCAAAAAAGATGATTTCTTAAACATTGTTCACAAACTTTTCCTTAAAAAATGTAACTTTTTTTGTGTTATTATTTATTTTTAATTGGACAACTTTTTTAAAACTTTGATTTTTTAGGAATTTTATATTTTCTACTTTCTTTAAACTTTTTTCGTTTTAAAAGCTCACACCTGCTTCTCTACGAAATTTTTTGCATATGAAATTTTTCGCACCAACACGCTGAAGGATATTACCCATCATAAACATTTTAGTAACCGCCTCCAAGGTTATTAGGGGAAAGTATTTTTTATTCTTATCTCATTTTTTACTATTATGATTAACCAATATTAATCATTAACCATAACCATTAATCGACAAAAACCATTAACCAAAATCAAAATATATCAATACCTAATGACTACCAAAATGCATTAACCACTTATGATAGTTATGGTTCAGTTTTAGTTGAAAATCGATCCAAACCGCCTCAGACGCACCCTAATGGTTATGTTATGTTGTTTTCAATTCCTTTCTTAATTATGTATGTGATACATATATTTTAGAATTTTAATAAAACCTTTTACAGCTTTATAAGAAACCGAAAAAAATAATAACAGACATTAAACAAATTACAAATCAATACAATTGGCTAAAAATATAAAAAATAAACCATTACGGTCGAACACTCGAACCTCGTTATCCCACCAATGCTTTTATGTTGTTCTTTTAATTTTATAGTGAAATGATTTATCTTACATTAAACGATGAATTATAGATTAAAATGATTTTTTTTCTCTTTATAAAAATAACACGATCTAAAAAAGATGTAAGAAATTGAATATCACTTTGTGCATTCGACTTTCAACTCGAGTTTTAATTTTAACAAAATTTCTAAGTTTTCCCACTTTACAATTTGATAAAATATAACTTGCATAATGCTATTTTTTTGTTGCCATTTTACTAAATATTAAGGGTTAACTTGCATACATTTAAATATTGGCTCAATTAGTTAAAGCGTTTTGTGCCATCATTTGACCAAGATGCTACATTTAGCATGAGTGAAAAGATACCCTTCTTTTCTTGTTAACCATGGAAGGAATCCAACCTAATCTTACAACATATCCATATGCACTTCAACCTCGTTCACTCATTCACTTTATTCTCCCTTTCCTTCATCTTCTAAGTTCTAAGCCATGCCCATAAAACCCCACAAACTGTTTTGTCTATCTTTCATCTTTTCTAGATCAAAAACAACAAAAAATGGCAATAAACGCTCAATATAATGTGAGTCAATACATCGTACCATTCGTCTGTTTGTTGATCATAGCCATGGATCTCACCGCAGGGATTCTCGGCATTCAAGCTGAGATAGCCCAAAACAAGGTACGTTCTTTGAGCTGTGAATTGAACTGAAACTAATATCAATAAGACATAAAATTACAATTTTTATCACATCCAAAAAGACAAGACAAATATATAATCTAAATCTCTTGTATGTACAAAATACATAAATGCCCTCCTCATCATTGTTAAAAAAAAAAAAAAAAAAAAAAAACCTTAAAAAACTTGTCTCGTCCCATATTACAAAACACACCCAAAAGAATAGAACTTATGACAACTCTGTCTCATAAACATGTAAGATATAAACCAGGTACACAACGGTCTAGTAGGTGGGTGAGGACATCAGAGTACATGTCCGAAAAAATTGAAAATCTCACCCTGCGTCTACTGAAACTCGAACCATTGACCATTTATGCATGTCTACCAACTCTCCTACACCCTAGGACACAAACTTATGATTTCGGGCTAAAGTGTTGTATTTTAAACATGTGTGTTGTTGTAGGTGCAAAATCTAAGAGCATGGATCTTCGAATGTCGAGATCCAAGTTATCAAGCATTCAAACTAGGGTTTGCAGCCGCAGTTCTTTTGGCGTTTGCTCATGCCATTGCAAACTTATTTGGTGGATGCCACATCGTATTGTCCAAACCAGAGCTAGACCGAGCCACCTCCAACAAACAATTCGCCATGGCTTCACTCATCCTATCATGGTACACTTTTTTCACGTACTCATTTCTCACTTACCCATTTTGCATTAAAAACTTGTACATTACGCATCAACCTTTATACCAGGATTACATTAATCATTGGATTCGGGATGCTAATTGCTGGAGTCATGGCTAACTCAAGTTCAAGAAAATCATGTGGAGTTTCAAACCATCGTTATTTATCCATTGGAGGCATTGCGTGTATCATTCATGGATTGTTTGCTGTTTCTTATTACATTTCTGCCACTGCTGTTGAAAAAGAAGAAAAGAAGTTGAACCCACATGGACCCACCATGATGAACCACCCCCCTGGACCAATGTTGATCCCACCTGGACCGGTGCATGCACCCTCAGCACCTGTCTGAATCTTGGATATTTTTTAGTGTTACATGTAAGAAGTAGCAATGTAATTCTATTTATTTGTGTTTTATTGCATCTTACTTTTCGATTTTTCTGTTACACAATTGTAGTTTCAAACTTTTTCTTCTTAAGACTTTGAAGAATCTATAGGATCACAACATTTTAAGAAACATAGACATTTACGGGCATCACAATCACACTATATTATATACAGAAAATTATCAAGCTTTATTATAGAAACAAAGTTAAGAATTGCTACAATACAAGCTCAATTGATTTGTTCATCTTAATGATACATATTAATTAAAGAAAACATATAAGATACTATAACAACAAGTCAACTTTACCAAACTAGCATCCTACAGATACCAAAACAAACATATTACACACATAACAAAAGCCTAACTCTTTTTTGCAAAGCTCCTAAACAAATACAAACCATAACAACAATGTACTTTAATTATCACCAGATTTCACCATAGCATTCAACACAATCTCACCTTGCTCTTTCAAAAGCTCCACCTTTTTCAAGAAATGCTTAAGTTCTTGAACCTTAAGATTTTTCCATTTTTCCTCCATTTCTAACTTTTTAGGAGCTGAAAGCAACTCTAACCCCTTGTTCATAATCGCCTCATCTGTAAACATGAACCCCAATGAACCATGGTCTAACCCATGGCTCGACTGCAGGGGCTGCACCACTTTCGGTTCAGCCTCTTTAGGGGTCACGCTGGGTTCAGGTTCAGGTTCAGGTGCAACCCCTCCATTCACATTACTCTTACGATTCTTGTTGGGTTTGGGTGTCACGTTGACTTTCTTGGTGGTGGAACTCATGACTACATTCTTATTACTATCACTTCCCCATAAGTTTTTTGATAATTCATACATTTTCTTCTCATGGGGATTCGAAAAAGATCGAACTTTTTTACTTTGGTTCTCAGCTCTAGCTACGTTGTTTTCGTACTTCTTCCTCAGTCTTCTAACTTTGGCAATCACTTGTTTGTTGTTGACATCGACATGAAGTGATTTCTTCACGAAGTCATGAAAATCGTTGACATCTGCAACGGGATCTTTACCCTTTTCATTAACGTAATTAATCATACCTTCGATTAGCTCAATTTCGTTGTCTTCACTCCAGAGTCTTTGAAAAAGTTGTTTCTTTTCACCACCATTACCCGCATCCGGTGCCGCCACCGCGACCACCGTCTTCTTCTTTAACCTCTTCAAATCCTGAGGTTCACCCTCCGCCGCAGGCCGTTTTCCGGTGGATGATTTAAGAGGAGGTGGTGAATAGCGAGTGGTAGGAATCTTGGATCTGGGTTTTTTCGATTGGTCATCTTCCATGGGCTTTGATGCTATGGGTTTGATACTCGAGTCGGGTATTCTTGGCTTCTCGGTGTCGGAGTCAGACTCTGAGCCCGATTCGTCAGAAGATGAATTGTGGGTGAGTTGCGTTTTCTTAGAAGAAGGTGGAGGTGTTGACGTCTTGTCGGGCTCCGATTCCGATTCCGACCCTTCAGACGAAACTTCTTCTTCTTCACCGGATGATGAATTCGCTGGTTCACTCTCCGATCCGGCCATTGTTGATAAGAAAGAGCTGAGTTTGTTGCGATAAATCTAGGGTTTCTTAGTGGAGAAATGAGAGAGGTAGGGTCTTGGTGATGTGTTGAAGCTAAACAAGAAATTCAGTCGTACGCAAAACACGATGCTTATCGAGACTCCTTGGCGTTTGGCTCGTGCTTTGGAATCGGTCATAAGGAATGTAATGGGCTGTTTTGGAATTCAGTCGTACGCAAAACAATTGAACCTTCGGCAAACCGTTCAGCGAGAAGTCCGTTTATATTCGTTTATTTAATAAATGAATATAAATATAAATTCACATCGTTTAGTTAAATGAATGAACATAAACAATGATGATATTATTCGTTCATTTATGTCTGTGAATTTTTGTTTACCTTCATTTGCATTCGTTCGCTTAAGTTAATTTATGTTCATATATATTTAAAGTTTCAACATTGACAACTCTTTCATGTAGATCTAGTTAAGTGGTATTTTGTTATGGTTTTGGTTCCTTTGAGGTGATTCTTGTGAGTAGAAGTTACTTCAGAATCTTTGAGCTTCATATTTGGTCCTTGTTGAGGTTAAGGAGTCATAAAGTTTGGATCTTGATGAGTTTAAACCTTCAATTCATGATTTGGTAGTCATTTGATGAAGTTTGGGACCTAGGGTTTTGATTTGGATCTCATTGAGTTATGCTAAGTCATAAACCTGTAAACTTTATGACTTAAGAAGCCCCTTGAAATTATATATGAAATTTGGATTAAGATCTTAAGATATTAAGAAATTTTTGAGACATTTTGGAGTGATTTTGACCTTCGGGGTTGATCTTTTGTGTTGGGTTTCATTAAGCCATGCAAAGGCTTAAAGCCTTTGACTTTATGGATCAAGTCACTTGTATTTAGCTATTCTTAGGTTTTGGTCATTTAGCTTAAGGATTAAGTCATTGGAATGGATTTTGGGTAGCCGCCAGGAACGTCGTGCGTAACACTGGGGAACGTCGCGCGTTCCGACTATGATACCCGTTTTTTTGACCGACGACGTATGTCGTGCGTACGTCTAATCATATGGGAATTGGGCTTTTTTTACTTGGACTCTTTTGGTATGGGCTTCGGTTGGGCTGAGTTGTTTCTTTTGGGATTAGTTGTCTTGGGCCCTACTGGGCCATCAGGTTTTGGGCTGATAATTATTTTGAAAATGGCTAAAATGAATTTGGACCCAATTTGGAAAATTGGGCCATGGGTTAGGCCTTGGATGGTTGTTGGTAATTGGGCCTTTTGGATTATTAGGTTTGGGCCTAAGTCTTGGTCCAAACTAGGTAAGGGGAAATTGGTCATTTACCCTGGTAATAGATTTATGGTTATGGATTGGAACTTAATTGTTGAGTGGTGTTGTTTTCACAGTGTTAGTTCGGGGATCTGTCAACCAACAGCCAGGGATTTCCTATTTGATTTGGCAGTGCGATGTGAGTCTCCTCACTATATCCATGGGTCGAAGGCACCAATGCCGACCCATTACGTGTTTTGTGGTATGCTATTTGTCTATGTGATACTTACATAGAAAACCTCAGGGGAGCCCGTAGCAATTGGATATCAGACCATTGGGGGGAGCCCATGTCATTCCAGGTAATAACAATGGGGGGAGCCCATGACACTTGGATATCAAACCATGTGGGGGAGCCCATGGCATTCCAGATCAAGACCATAGGGGAGCCCATGGCAATTATATGTATGTTGCATGATATTTTGTGGTTGTATGTTATATGGTATTTTAGGGAACTCACTAAGCTTTGTGTTTACGGTTTTCGGTTTGTGTTTCAGGTACTCCAGTTTTCAAATGAAAGAGCTCGGGACGATTGCAGGACACACACCACATGTTTCTGCATTCTGTGAATTACTCTGATCTGATGATGTTTTTACTAACTATTGATTACCTTGGTTTTATGGGAAAGAAATGTATTAACGATTTATTAATATAAAAACAAAATTTTTTATGCTATGATTTTTGAGACGTTACACTACAAGCTTTTATTTTAAACAACATGTTTATAATCTAAAAGCTATCACACGTAGCTTTTAACAAAAAAAAATTATGTCATGATTTTCGAGATGTTACTGCTACTCGCTCCCAACTAGTTTTCTCAAACACGCCTTTAGTGTAACACCGTGTTTCTAGGCTAAGCATTAGTATGATGATGTAATAGTTAGGGTCGACAATTGTAACCTACTTTGAAATAATAAAGATGAATTATTTGAATATTATGTGGATTATGTGATTTTATGTGTGTTATACTTATTTACAAGATATAATAAATTAAGAATGAAAAATAAGTGTCAAAAATAAGATAACAGATAAATCCAATATCTATAGAGAAAGTTGTAGTGATCGTGACAAGGATTTCCAGAGATATAAATACGCTGAAATCCAAGCTACAACGAAGAAGTTATGACATGTCGAAGTTTCGTAACAAAACAGGCACAACGTTGTGTGACATAAAAAGTGAGCTTACGATGAAGTGCTTTTTAGTCTTAGCGATCTAAACGAAAGTCGTACTATACGCTAAACTGAGATCGTACATAAAAAGAATGCCCAAATCTGACTTCGTATGAGAAAGTTATGATTTTTTTTCTAAGATTTGGCATAACAGTATGCAGCTTGGAGTTTGAATATTAGATTGACTAATTTTTAGCCGACACAACCTAAACGATAATCGAATATCTCATTAATAGGAACTCAACGACAAAAAGACAAACGAAAACGGACGTCAGATGACAAAATTATGAATTTTTAGCGGATTTTTCCTGTCCCGTCCTGTTAAAATATAACTTTAAAAATAAACTCAAAAATTAGCCGACAGAGTCTAAACGGAAGTTGTAGATTACGTCTCTGCCTACGCGTGGATATAAAGAATGTCGAAAACGGAACTCGTATGCGAAAGTTACAAATTTTAGAAGTCGGGAAGGTAAACTACGAGACTGCTCAGGGAACTGCCCGCGTAGGAGGAAGTAACACCATGCGCTCTCACAAGGCTAGGCTCCGAAGTTGTCCACGTCTCTCCATCCAAAGTCCAACACGTAACCGACCAAACGCGTTGCATACACAGGAGCGCCCTGCGTACCCGGAACGTGATGTGTTCCTCCGAGGAGCGCCCTGTACACCGAGGCTTCAATCAGCTATAAATAAAGGTGCGAGGCAGTCTCATTTTTGACTACTTAAGCCACTTTTTTTTCTCTTTCTCTACTTTCTCTCTAAACACCCTAACCCCTAGAATTTTCCTAGTGCTAGAGGAAAGCCCCGGAGTACTTGAAGGCTCCGAGAAAAAGAGCTTTTCGGCTCGGAAGTTCCACCCCCGCATAACTCGATTTCTAGCAAACCTCTTGGTAAGTGACTTATGCTTACCCTACCATAAATATAGCTTATGTTTAAGTTCATTATCGTTATTATGAACCTGTAAACAAGATTTATCAGTGATTCCAAGTCGTTATACTCATTGATCTACTTACGGGGATGATGTCTAGCCTTTGATTTAGTGAGGTGTTTAAAGGGAGATTTCCAAACAGTATACTTTATATACCAAACGGACCCTACCTCTGATATGATCGCACCTGGTTGTTCCTTACTTGATAGATCATGAAAGTAGACTTTGGTTTAATGATGAATCTAGACTAATAATTAGTCGCAATAAATGTTAGACTAAAATTTAGTGGTAATCATACTATCAAAGGAAAAGACAATTGTTAGAAGCGTAGCGCTGCTCGGATTTCGAGTCGTCACTTTAACATGTGAGTGCATAGTTAAAAAGTGAGTGCATATTATGTATGTTCTTGATATCTATGCTAGACAAACGATTTATACATGTTTTAAATAATTTAAAATGTATATGTATTTTCTTTCTATGAAAATGTTGGGTAAAACATGGGTAGACGAAATAGTTGATGCGTGATAAGATGATGAAAGGTATCGATGTTTACGATGCTCCAATCATGTAGCAGAGTATAGATGATGACCACAAACTATTTAGACAATCCAGTCGAACGCTAGTAAGCTCGCAACCTGTAGGTGTTTGTGAACGATGTGCTCACTGGTGTACTCCATCTCCCTCATGGTTGCCTTACGAACAATTATTACTGAGGAACCCCCTTAGCGATAGTATCCATCCCAATGAATATCCATATGATAGGTCTCTTATAATAGGTGCTTTATGGAAGTAAAGTGAGGATAATAAGAACGGGTAATTGGGTTGATTGGTTTGATGAAACTAATAAACTATTTATTGTTGGTTGAAAACTGATAAGTGTATTTTATGAATGTGTTAAATTGTCATAATTACGTTGAATTGATGTGTAATTGCCCAAGAATGGCACTACTTTGATTAATTGTTAAACTTCATATGCAGGTCAATATATTGTACTAAAAGTGAGCGGATCCCGCAAGAAAAACGAGCAAACTAAAGTTAACAAGCGTGGGAGACGAATTGCTAAAGGAATAAAGAAAAATGGCGATGAGAAATTTGGCCACTCTTCAATGTTTTGATGATATCTCAAGATCCGGAGCTCCGATTGACATGATTAAAAAAGTTCCAGAAACTAGACAAAATTTCCTACAACTTTCATGTTTTGTGTTTTTACTGATTCTACCGTTTTCATCACCAAAAAGGAGCGACAAAGATGAGGGACGTCCTAGAACGCGTCTAAGATGCCCCCTAGGATGCCTACCCATTTCAGGCCATTTTTAAGTGCAAATCAAGGACGACATATGGCTTGTAAAACGTCCTGAAGGACGCCCAGACGTACTATATAACGTCTAAGACGCCTACTAGGATGCCGACGCGGAAAATAGCTCCGAAAATCAGTTTTGTAGCACCTATTTAAGTTAGATTAAACCCTAATCGACTTTGGACTCCTCTTCTACGATTTTCACCAGTTTTGGAGGGTTCCAAACACTTCCAAACGCGTTTTTGATCATCAATTTCCGAATGCGAGGCTACAAATCACCAAGTTCATCATCATTCAACAATTGAACTCATTCAACCGGTGGATATTCATCAAACTCCATATTTTGTTACTTCTTCTCCAAGATTTCATCGTTCAATGATTGATTGATCATTAGATTTGATTAGTTTTATGATTTCAAGTTGGTTTATGAATTTTATTATGAATTACATTGCTTTTATTCAAGTTTTGTGATTTGTGAATTCTATGGAAGGCTAAACCACCTAGGTTACTTTCGGGAATGTTTACGATGATTTGATGAATGTGTTTTGATTATTAGTTCTATTCCAATCAACTTTTGGTTATTCTATGTTCTTAAATTTATGATTTCTATTAATGATAATTGAAGTTGGGTGTTATTCATGTGTTTAATTTTACAATTAGGATAGTTTATTGTCAATTCATTAATTGTGCCGAATTCATATAGTTTAGGAACTAAGACGATCGGTTGAATCAGCATATATTATTCCAAACTTGTGATTTTAAATGTTAAACATTGTAATTGGTAATCATAAGACACAATATTATCAAGCCACTCATTGTTCCTAATCCATTTAGACATAGGGAGTAAGACAATTAGTGAGAATAACATATTGTGTGCCTAAAGTTATTTATTGCATGTTAATTGACCTTAATTATGTCTAGGTAATTAAATTGGAATTTAAGGGAAGATAAACACGTGAGTCTTAATCATCCGACATTGGACCTGAAGTAACCTTGTTTTTCTCATTGGTAATCGTTTGCAATATAAAGTTTCTAGTTTTTTTTTTTTATTTAAATCTTAGTTTAAATATTTTTCGTGACAACTGCAAGTATTAGTTCTTGTTCATTGACTACTATAGCACAAAGTTTGACCACAAACTCCTCGTGGATTCGACCCTTACTTACCTAGCTATTTAGTGGTTTTGAGGTTAGTTTTTTATTGAGACAACTGATCGAGGTCGTTGTCTCGATAAAAAATAAACCAAATAACCTAAGTAGATAGGGTAAGTCGGGTCGAATCCACAAGGAGTTCATGGTTAAACATTGTGTCAAAGTAATAAAAACCCTATGTGTTCACCAGGATCCCAAGCCTAACCCACTCATTTTATTGTATTACAAGTAGTGACACAAGAGCATAGTTGAGATGATCGGATGAGGGCTTATGAATTATAGGCCAATAGAAATAAATAAATGTTGCAAGTCCTATGTTGTTTTAGATTATGCTTTTGATCTGTATTGAAAATGACATCTTGAGGTTTTAATATAATGAAATACATTTTTTCGGAAATGTTTTAGATAAAATCTTTCTCATATTTTTGGGAAAAAAAATCCGCAATATTTTCTTTAAAAAGTTATTCTGATTTCCAAATAAAGCATAAACAAATCGGTCTTTTCTGACCGTGGAATTGGGGATGTCACACTTAGTCTTTGACTTCCATTTTTACGAGATCAATTTTTCAATTTACTAAAAAATAAAGACAAAATTGCAAAAATGGTCTACGTGGTTGTTAAAATTATGTGGTTTTGGTCAAAAAAAAAAATTGGTGGTGCATCAACGGTCAAATTTTGGATATATAATGTGGTTTTGGTCCCTATGGTTGACATTTTCGTTTGGTTTTGGTTCACACCCGACCTAAAATGATGAATATGCCCTCTAAAATTGTTTTTTTTTTAATTTATTTTTTCTCTATTTTATTAAAATTTCTTATTCTTTTAATTAAATAAACAAAAAAAAAATCCCAAGCCCCCCCCCCTAAAGTCATCATCCCCAGTCCCCACCTATCTCCCTTTCTCGATCTTCCTTCTTTATTCTCTTCCATCGCTACCAATAACATCGGCGAAGGGCGATGATTTCCTAATGAAGATCAGAGTTAGCGTTTGCACACATTTCTTTTGGATTTGTTCACACAATATGAGTGAGCGACGATGAAGTATGAGAGGAAGTTGACAACCGTGGTCGTTGCCGCTTGCCTTCTCCGTTGCCACCTTCGTCTGCCTTCAACTCTTGTAACGACGATTGTTATCCTCCACCAATGATTGTAAAAAAAAACTTGATATCGATACACACACACCCCTACAAATCTATGAGAGGGAATGGTGGTGGAATTGATCTATAAGATGGGGTAGGGGTAGTAGAAGTGGGTCATATTTGTTCAACACCAACCTAACCATGTTTGTTGATCAACTTCAATTCGGGTGACAGAGATGAATGAAGGATTTCGGTGAACCAATAACACAATATACACATACATACACTTTCTTCTTGATTCAACTTCGATTTTAGCTTTGGTTCTGGTGTCCCAATCGAGTGAATCGATTTTATCTTCAATTTGATTCAGTGCCATTATCTACTTATTTGATTTCATTAATCCCTAAACCTAGAAATGATATGAAAATACACATATGAAATTGATTTTTTTAGAAATCCATTTAATTCAGTGCCTCTAGATCTTCACTCTGTGGTTGATTTTTCTTGGTGCTTTGTTTTGAATTGTCCCTTTTCTTTGTTTGATTAGTGGTGATTGTGGTTGATGACGGTGTCGTGGTCGGTGACATGGTGGTTGATTGCAATCATGGTAGTAGTGATGGTGTTTTTGGATGTGGGATGGATGATGGTATTTTATATATATATATATATATATATATATATATATATATATATATATATATATATATATATATATATATATATATATACTATTTTAATATAATAAATAATAAATTAATTTAAAAAAAAATCAAGAAAGATATAATACTCTTTTCAAGCTATAAAGATCAAAATCACTAAAAATATTGAAAAATAGACCATTGACATATACCATCAAAACTTGTTGGAGCAAAACAATAAAATTTTGAAAATACAAGACCATTTTTGATATTTTATAAAAAAAAAAAAAAAGTTTTCCTCCCATCTCGCAATTCAAATAGTATTGTTTCCACTCACTGTCATAGTATCATTCTCCTCCTTCTCCACTTCTCGCCATACCATAACAGGTATGAATGTATCATTCATATATCTAGTTGTTGATAGATTTTGGATTTTCTCTTCTATACGTAGCAGGGTTTGCAGTAAACGTTTCGTTTTAAAATCGCTGATCGAAATCAGGGTTTATACTGTTGACATTTCCTTTGGGTAAATGCGTATTTGGATTTGCAGATGATAATCAATGCCTTCTTAACGATCGATTTCAAAACTGGCATAGTCTATCCAGTTTTGAAATCGGTAATCAGATTTATGATTCATATTTTCGAGCTATGTTGAAGAGAACTAGTGTTGCTTTCCGATTGCATTCTTGTTCACTTCACATATCTCCACGTTCTCCTTTTGGCCATGAATGATTAGCGTTTGGAATGCTGTTTTTTGCATTTTATTCCCGTTCCATTCGTCTCTCCCCGTGTCTGTGTCTAACCCTAACCTCAAATTAACCTTCGTTTTCCCCAAATCCAACTCACATTAATTCCCAAAATTGAGCAGTTGATGACGCACACTCGTAGTACGATCGCTTCAACGCCTGCGGGTGGATGCAGTCTATCACCTTCCCGAAATCCAATCAACGAGGATTTGAGTAAGCAGATGAAGGTTAGTTCGTACTGTTATTCACCCATTAATCTGTTATCTCGTGTTTTCTGTTAGCATCTAATCTTCCCATTATCATTCATGATTTCTTTCACACTTCTTTTATAGGAGAACTTCCAAAAAATGAAAGTAGCATCGCTCCAACTACAGTTAGTTATTGCCACAGAAAGTTTGGCAGCTGAAAGGTCACAGAAGCTAGTAAGGCTTTTGATCTAACAATTCCGTGTTATCTAATTACATTCTCTAATTGTTTCTTATCTTGAATCTCTTTTGTATATGTTATTAGGATGCCCTTGAATATCTTAAGACTTTAGAAAAGGATCAAGATTCTTTAAAGGAGGAGCTTGAAAGGGCCCAACAGAAGGCATTGACTGCTAATAAGAAGGTAATTAGTATTTATTTAGTAATATTAACAAGAGAATGCACAACCATACAAATAAATCTTCAAAATGTGGTTCTGATTTCAGATATTGGCTTTCTTCATTATTGATTTTTCAGGTGGAAACATTAGAAGATCAAAATAAGATGTTGCAAAAGCTTAACATCAAACTTGAAGATCAATTTGAAAGAGCTAATAATGCAAACAAAAACCTAGAAAGGGAGAAAGATATGATATCAAAATACAGCATGACATTGGAGAAACTGTGTCTCATTTATGAGGCTCAGATTGCTGATGCCAAGGTAAGTCTTTTGTCTCCATTTTTTTTTTTACTTTCACATATCATTATATCAAATGTAACATTACCCATGACTTTTTAGGTTTTATGTTGTCAGACAAATGTCAAAAGTTGTTCTATATGGGTGTCATGAAACTTGCTATGATTGATAAAAAAGGAGTATATATTTGTTGATCATGACATCATTTCATTAAATTTGGCTGAAACATAAAACTTTGGTTTTTGCATTTTGACAATCTTTATGGTGTTATCATAGAATTCAAGAGATGATGCTGTCAAGCAAAAAGGAACTGCATTGAAGGATGCAGATATACGCTAAGGATAACTGAAGAAAGTAAGCAAAGATGGTAGGGATTTTTGTGATATATGGTTTTAGAGCAAATGTTTTGTCTTGATTTTGTGAGCTGAGTGGTGCTGAAACACTCTCTTATATGATGTACAACTTGGAAAAAGAATTTATGTGTTACTAGCTTTGCTCCTATATATAGTCGTTCATACACATGCTATTTCCTTATATATCGGGTGGGAAAAAAATAAATATTTGACATGGAGATATTCAGTTGATTTAACAAGAAGAGAAACCATTAATTTGTGAAAACAAAAAATATTAAATAAAAACATGCATAAAAATAAATATGTAAGAGCACATAGGTGACCAAGTGTAAGGCCAAAGGTAATACAATAAAAAAAAACTTGTTTACTCTCACAAGTTACAAAATATAAGGCTAAAGGGTATGGTTTTTAGATGTTTACACGTTTTAAGGAGTCACATCATCTAAATATCCACTTCACTACATGTTTACTAGTAGTGGGGTGTTGTTCACTAGGGAACAAGAGAGAGAAAGAGAAAAGGAAGAGAGAGAAAGTGAAAAGGAAGGAATGATTGTGGAGAAAAAATTCAGCCAATAAAATTGCTGGTAATCATCCGTGAATGACATCAATCTGCATCACACTCACTATAAGGGGAGGGGAGGGGAGGGGTGTTAACGCGTGAACAAGCCCTCCATAACAGTTGTCATGCGTGAAAAACCTATCCATTCCATTTGGCCTAAACAAAATGGACAAGTAACTATCATCGTAAGTCATTTTTCTAACTATATATATATTATATATTCTTTGTAACATGATATTTTATGAAGAAAAAAAATAATTAAAAGGAAACTCTACGAATGAAAATTATTCATCATCTTATTCGTCGAAGAAAAACCATAACAATAGAATTATATCCTCGGTATAAATAAAAGTAAACTTAAGAAATAATAATCATAATCATACTTTAATATATACAAGTAAAATTGCATAATGACAACAAGTGATTTTAGTTTTTTTTTTTTTGGAAAAATTATATGAATGCAAAAAACCAACATTTTGAATAACAATTCATCATAAGTTTCAAGCTTATAAGATCCAGACCTAGGTCAAATCCATCTTGAAGTGTTACCTAAAAATGATCACCATTAGATTATCTTGGTGGTGGTAGAAAATTAGAAAAATATTACTAAGATATTAAAATTAAAAATAGAAAAGAGAAAATAATGAAATAAACATTCATGGACCAACCTTATCTAAATTATTTTGATTTGAGCATATTTTAACAATTTACATTCTGGATTTAAGGAGTGTTTAGGAGGAGATTAGATTTACAGTTAAAAAAAAAACAATTTCCATTCACTAATATTTTAACAATATTCGTAGTGATGATAACTAATTAACAACATATCATTAAAATATGTATTTATCTTATTTTAATTCGTCATATATATTTGGAGAATCACATACACAAATTTTGTAATATAATCATAAATTAAAATTAATGTTACGAACTTATGATAGGGAACGAGAAGTTAGGTAGTTTGGTAGAGATGAAACGATTTTGTTTGAATGAGGTTTCTTAAGGGGTGTTTGGATTAGATTTTTAGCTTATTGCTTATAGCTTATTTGTGGTGGGAATAACCAATAAGCAATAAGCATGAGGAGGAATGCTTATTAAAATTAGCTTATTTAGCCTAATAAGCTGGATTTTATCCAAACACTTAAATTAGCTTATTGTGAGAATAAGCAATAAGCACCTCTTTTTTTTCCTATCCAAACACACCCTTATGTCCGCTTCCCGCTTTTCCTTTCCTTCTCATCGAAGCCCGACATTTGTGAATTGAAATATTTGTTTCCGGCGATTCATCCTCCATCCCATTACGAAGGTATGATTTCTATGGATTTAGATCTAAACTTCAAATGCTATAATGTCCGACTCTGCAACTGTTTAACTCATTTGTGCCATATTTTATGAAGCATTAATTTCCCCAATCAACAAGGATTCTAAAAAGCCGATGTCGTTAGTTTGTCTTATTAGCATGTAATCTTCGTGCCAATTAGCATTCATTCACACTTCCTTTTATCTTTTATAGCTAGGGCTAGCATATGTCGAACAACAATTCGCTACTGCCAAAAAAGAGTGGAAGATGAAGAGTCACAGAAGCTAGTAAGGCTTTTAATTTAACAATTATGTGTTATCTCATTGCCTTATCTGATTCTTTTTATCTCAAATCTTATATATACATTAATCTTAGGATGCCCTTGAATGTCTTAAGAAAGAAAAAGATGGTAGAATCGTTCTAGAAAAGAAGCTAGATTCTTTGAGGGAGGAGCTTGGAAGGGCCCATCAGAAGGTAATATAAACAAGATAATCCTCAATCATACAATAAAATTAACTATAAAATGTGGGGTTGATTTCAGATATCATTTTTTCCAGTTTTGTTTTTTATTTTCAGATGGAAACATTAGAAAATCAGAATAAAATGTTGCAAGAGCGTAACATCAAACTTGAAAGTGCAAATAAAAACCTACAAAATGAGAAAGATATAATATCAAAGTACAGCGTAACATTGGAGAAACTGTGTCGCATTTATGAGACAAAAACAATATTTTATTTGTTGAACATAACATCATTTATTTATTTATTTTACTTTCACTGTCATGAAATCCGCATGATTGTTACAAAAGCAGTATTTTATTTGTTGAACATAACATCATTTCATTTAAATTGGCTGAAACACAAAACTCCTTTTTTTGCATTTTGACATTTTTTAATGGTGTTATCATAGGGTTCAAGAGATGATGCAGACGAACAAAAATAAACTACGTTATTATACTCTAATGAATTTCAAGCAAGTAAGTAAAGATGGTAAGGATTTTAATTATTAATGGTTTTGGAACTATGTTTTGTTTTAATATGTAACATCCCAAGTTTTGTCAACTGTAGTCTTTGGGGATGGAAGGGTATAGCCATGAAGAGCCTAAGGACTAAATTGTAATTTTGGGACCAGGAGGAGTACGTTGCGCGTATATAAGGGTACGCAGGGCGTACACTTGTGTACGCTGGACGTACTCATAAAGGATGAAAACCCTAATATCTCGGGTTGGGGGCTATATAAACATCATTATGGCTCATTTTCTCTCCTCCTTCTTAGGAACATCCCCAAACCCTTGTTCTTGTGTGTGTGAGTGAGTTGGTGGGTATTTTGAGCTCTTGAAGGTGAAGTCATTGCAACAAATAGTTGAAGAAGGAGATTGGCTTGTAGATCTGAGGTTGTGTTGTGCTCTAGAAGCTCCAGAAGGTAAAAAGCTTCAAACTTTGTGTTTGTAGGTCATAGATCTAGCCTTTCTAGCATTATGGAACCATTTCTTGTCCCAAAAACCCCAATATGGTGCATGATGCATTTTGGACGAGATAAGCTATCCTTAATGGACCTTGAATAGGTCTCAAGTGATAAAAATGAGATCCCAATGGCTTAAGATGTCCCATGCATGATGTAGAAGGGTCTTAATGGATTAAGACCTTGGATTAAGAGCTTTATGGACATCCAAAGTGATAAAGTTCGAGACTTTATGAGTCCTAGGCACATTTGGTCACTGGATCTGGAGTTTAGGCTTAAGTGCTTAAGCCATTAAGCACTTATTAAGGTTTTGGTGAAACCCTGTATACGCCCATCGTAAGGGTCTGTACGCCCAGCGTACTAAGTCAATGGCCTATTTTCCAGTCAATGCGAGACTCACGTACGCCCCACGTAGCCTTGGGGTACTCCCATCGTACGTCTTCTGTGTACTTTTGGTGATTTGGGATACTTTTTGGGCTAGTAGGGTTTGGGCCTTACTGGACTTTCTGAGTATATATGTCTTGGAGCAGTTTTGGTGATAGTGGATCATAGGGTTAAGCCCAATAAGGAAGTTGGGCCAATTTACTAAATTGGGCCAATAAATATTTGATATAAATTTTGTTTTCACTTAATTTAACAAGAAGCAAATGATTTGGTCCTTTTCTTTGTGAGAATGGACAAAATAATGAACTTTACTCTAATATAATTTTTGATTAGTAAACATGGGTTTCAACTAACTTCTATTTAATGTCACATCAATTTCATATATATTTTTTTTCAACTCATACCGCATGAAAATAATATTTTTCTATCTCATTCAATCCATTTGTCACTTCACTGATTTTAATTAAATTAAAATAGAAAATGCAAAATTAAATACAACATAACATTTTTATAAATTTTTAATCTTTAAAACCAAAAAAATATATAAAACAATAACAATAACATTTAATTAAAAACCCACACTAAAATAATATACATTCAAACAACACTAAAATAACATAATTAAATCCTACTAAAAGGACAAAGGAAATAACTAAAAAAAACATACTATAAACTACAAATGAAAACTAAAAAGATACTTAAATTCTAAAAAAAAGACAGGCACGAATTTTAGTGATAAAGCATGGGTGTAAGTGTGTGTCGATGGTCCTGTTTAGGGTTGTAGTCATTGACAGTTTTGTTTGAGATTATCTTGCTTAACCTCTAGTCGTTGACCATTTTTCTTCATCATCCATGGCGATCTTCAAGTGTATTAAACCTAATTCAAAGAAAGACCTCTTTGGATTTGTCAGTTGCAATAGAGATGAAAAGGAGCAGCGATTGGCGCTATATTAATGCTATAACAAGATATTGCTAATCATTTAATAATAGGGACTATTTTTACATATTAATGCTATATCATAGGGACTATTTTTACAGTCTAATATTAATGCTTTAACAAATATTGCTAATCATTTTATTTTTCAATTGGAATTACTTTTGTTTTTTATTGTTATTATGTTATATATATAAGGGGGGCACTTTTGATAGTTGCAGTGATATATATTTTTAAAATAAATTTATAATATCTTTAAAATCTAACATTATCTTAATCTATAAAATTAAAAAAGAGTATATCCAAATTTATAACTTTATTTCTCTATAAATTGAATATAAAAATGACATATTTCGTATTCAATTACAACTCTTTGTTTCTAATCCATTGTGATTCCAAATTTGTTAGCATGGATCATTTGTATCCAAATTTCATTTTGGAATTTTCTAATATGTATCCTAAGAGCACATATAAGAAGTATTAATTAATTATAATTATTATCATAATTAAATGTGAAATTCATTAATTATAGAGATTATTAATAAATTTTATATTTAATTATGGTAATATTTCTTATAATTAATGTATTTAACATTTAAGTATGATAATAATTGTGATTAATTAATACTTCTTATATGTGCCCTTAGGGCACATATTAGAAAATCCCTTTCATTTTAAATCTTGATCAGCGTAAAATAATGTTGCTGCTCAAAATAAAAAAAATATGTACTTAGTCATTGCTTCCTGCTGCCTACAAAATGCATCATATCACTATTTTTCCAAATAGATGGTGGATTTATCTTGATTAGAGATAAGAAGAAAATACGAGGACCAAAAACGGATTGTTTCAAAATTAGAGGACCGATGCTGGAAGCAGAAGGTCAACTTTCTGAAGGGGAGAGATTGAGGAATAAACTCCACAACACCATTTTGGTATCCTTTTTACCCGTAATTTTTAAATTATGTTTTGACAAATAACTCGATGCTTTTTTGGATTTTAATGGTTTTATAATTGCAGGAGCTAATAGGGAATATCAGTTCAAAGTGGTATGTTTGTTATTCTCATTTTTCGTTCATATTTGCATATTTGAAGTCTTATTTTGATGTTATTAATTCTTAACATTATTCTTATGCGTCTTCCTTTGTACACTAATCTGATTTTTGTATACAGAGTAATCATGATGACAACACACAATCAATAGTCAATGATAAAATATAATTATATTAGATAACATAGTTACATTGTTATCAAACTTACACATTATTTTAATGTATAATAACATATATTTGTTAGTTTGCAAAAGTTTTAAACAAAAATATAAAATAGTAACTTATGGATATATATTAGACAAAAGAAAAGAAACACAAGTTTAGTATACACCACTTATTCAAAACAATTGAACAAACGTCCTATATCTGCAAGTGTGCTTGAACTATGACTACTTACCTATGAAGCAAATGGGGAAAAGAGAATACGAATAAGATGACGTGGCCAGAGATTCACATAGTTCAGTAGATAGACCAGGAGGTGGGCCCACCATGATAGGTTTCACTTTCACCTCTGCAATCTGAACAAAAGAAGCCGAAGCTAGCCCACTAGTAATCAGTCTTAGCACAACTCTACGACTCATCTTTTTGTGATCGAGTTTGTGTATGGATTGGGTGTTGATAACGAGTTTAGAACGAGTCACGATGCCATGGCTAGTTTCAGTCATGAGAGCTAGACTGGTCGAGCCACTCAGCTCGGAGCTTACCTCCAGCCCAACCAAAGCCAACGTTCGAGACATGACTATTTGCTAATCGCTATGGGTTTTTGTCTAGGCAAAATAAGATAAAGTTAAAGAGATTTTTGTTTCATCGGTCATGTGATGTAAATATGTAATGTGTGGTCAATTGGATATTTTTGATATGTGGCTATTGAGTGGTTAGAAAAGAAGATTTGGTGTTTTGGTGGTTGCTTGTTTTATTTTTTTTAATATATAAAAAAAATATAATACAATAATTTCCTCTCCTTTTGCATTTCATGTAATCTTTTCCTTTATTTTCTTTCATAGGTTTTTATTATTTTCTTTCCCTCATCAAAAATCGGAGTGTATGTGGAAAGCTTTTTTTAAATAAAAATAATTGATTTTATGATTTATATTTTTTTTAAATGAATAATAAACATAAAAATTATTTAAAAATAAAAACCACTTTATTAATTAAAAAATACATAAAAAGATAAATTAAAATAAGTAAGATTTAAAAAAAATACTAGAAAACAATATCCGAATTAAAAAAAAAAAAAAAAAACAAACAAATTATGTCACATGGAATCGTCGTCCTCATCATCATCATTTTCATCGACATTATTCTCGTCATCGTCATTGGAATCCTCGCTCTCGACGAATGTATCTGAATCATCATCTGATTTGTCAAATAAATCAGCATGTCAATATTTTGTCGGCGTTGAATATGAGTCCTGTAAATATATTCCAAGGTTGTCCAGATCGGGATCCTACCTAGGATCGTTTTTGGGTTTGCAAAATCGGAATCGTAAGATCAGGATCGAGATCCTAAGATCCCACAAAATAGAATATAATTCTAATTTATAATATTAATCATAAAAAATATTTCAAACATTTAATTTTTCGTTCAAAAGTTATAAAAACTTTAAAATATTAGTCATAAGTCACAATAAAAATGATAAATGGTAGATTGGTAAAGGGTAAAAGACATAAAATGGTAAAAAAATTGCATTTGAAAAAAAAAATTAAAGGAAGGTAGGATCGGATCGGATCTCGATTCCACGATCCTACCTACGATTTTACGATCCTACCTGCGATCCTACCCAAAATACGATCCTTTTACGATCCGGATCGTTTTCATATATAGGATCGTAGGATCGTACGATCCTACGATCAGGATCGCGATTTTGACAACCATGATATGTTCTACCAAATCAGCACGAAGGGTGTGATGAATATCACGATTGTATACTTTTCTTCTATTTTTCCTATACTCTTGGGTACCAATTGCTACTCCTTCGACATTTGGCAAAACTTCATTTTCGTTGTATCGACACATCGCTCTTCATTTGTCTTCAAGAATCATACTATGCAATATAACACACCTAGAAGTGTGTCTGAATCTCTCAGACCAAGACTTGGATACCAACTTGTAACAGACCAATTTTTATAAAAATTTTAAACTTTTATTTTCATAACCTCGACATAGTAAATATAAAAATCCCAATACATATTTATGTTATTTTGAAATCCATAGTACAAAGAGCTAAATGTGAAAACACTGGAGAATGCATGCCTCGTCATCAAGTCAGGCCCTTGCCCTTATCAATAGAAGTACCTGAAACACATAAACAAAATATAAGCAAAAGCTTAGTGAGTTTCCCAATCACACAAATCGTATAATCACATAATGTCATGCTCATACATATACATACAAATTACCATGGACTCCCTCCATGGTCTTCAATGGAATGTCATAGGCTACCCTCATGGTCTAATATCATCATGATATGGGCTCCCCTCATGGTCTTGACAAGTCCCATGGCTCCGCCTGGTCTTCACATAAACACATACGTAAATCAAATAACATATCAATTTCCATACAAACATATCATCTGTAACGCCCCTAGATCCGGGCTAGTCAATTTAGAGACGTTAAGCGTCAAAAATGACTTTTTGATAGAAGATTATTTAGAATCAATAATCTTAACTAAGTTGTAGTATATGTTACAAGGATTATGTACATATAAAGAACGTTGAAATCCGAGTTATAATGAAGAAGTTATGACTTGTCGAAGATTCGCGACAGAACCGGCACGACACAACGTGACATAAATAATGAATTTATGATAAAGTGCTTTTTAGCCTTAGTTATCTAAACGAAAGTTGTAGACTTCGTTAAACCGAGAGCGTGCATAAAAAGAACGCCCAAATCTGACTTCGTATGAGGAACTCATAATTTTTCTAAGGTTCAGCTTAGCAGTATGCAGCCCGAAACCCGAATTTGAGATCGAGTGATTTTTTGGTCGAAACGATCTAAACGAGAATCGAAGATCTTGTTATTAGTAGTGCAACTGTGAAAAGACACTCGAAAACAGACGTCAGATGAAGAAGTTATGAATTTCTAACGGAGTTTTCCTGTCTCGGCCTACTAAATGTAACATCCCGGAACTGCCGAGCTGCCGGAACTGTTTGGGTCAATCAAGACCGCTATGGTGGAGTATTTTGATGAGCGTTATGCGGCTCTCACTGAGACGGCTTCCGCGGCGGCTACAGTGGCTGTAGCTGCGGCAGGGGGAGGAGCTAGTTGAGGTTTTCAGTATCGGGACTTCGATAATACGAAGCCTCCCACCTTTGATGGAGTTCAGGATCCGATCGTTGCTATGAGATGGTTATCAGACGTGGAGGGGTGTTTCTTCACGTGTTCATGCCCTGCTGATCATAGGGTGAGGTGTGCTCTGAACCTGTTAAGGCTCGGTGCAAAGGATTGGTGGAGATTGACCACGGGGTCATACTCGGATGCGTAGAGGGCTGCGGTTTCATGGGATCAGTTCAGAGAGATGTTCAACACTCGCTATGTTCCGCAGGTCGAGAGGGAGAGGTTGGCTCAGGAGTTCCTTGAGCTGAAGCAGGATTTGGGGTCGGTGATGGAGATCACCAGGATGTTTATTGAGAGGGCGATGTTCTGCCCTGAGTTCGCTTCGGAGCAGGCTCAGATGTCCCGATATCTGAGTATGCTCAAGATGGATATCAGACAGTTTGTGTCCATGCAGAGGTGCGATACTTTGTTGGAGTTGCAGGAAGCCGCCAGGCGGCGTGAGTTAGAGATTGAGTTGCAGTTGTGAGAACAGAGGCAGGCTCCGATGCAGTCGCAGCCGGTGCCGAAACGGTCTAAGACCGTCGATTCTAGGCTGGGAGATCAGAGCAGCCACACTTGTGGGAAGTGTGGGAAGGGTCACACCGGAGTTTGTCGGTCCGGTGGTGCGTGCCGCAAGTGCGGAAAGGAGGGGAACTATGCGAGGGATTGTCGGCAGTCAGCGTTGGTTCGGGATTTGAGGATTTGTTATCATTGTCATCAGGTTGGGCATTTGAGGATCGATTGCCCACAGCTTGCTGTAGGACCGGTGCAGGCTCCAGCACCGGCCATGTTGAGGATCACGGGTGGAGGTCAAGGTGGAGCGGAGCCCCCCACGGGTTCAGGGTCGTGCTTTTCAGCTTACAGCGGAGGAGGTCAGGGCAGTGCGAGATGCAGCTGCGGGTATGTTCTTCTTGATGTCTTATTATTTTATGATTAGTGTGGAGTATTGTTTATCTGATGGTCTTGTTGTGTGGTTTTTTTTTTCATTTTGGCATCCGTTGTTCCGTGAGGGTTGGTTTGGTTGTTGGTTAGTGTCTCGGGTTGACGTTGGTTATCTTTCATGAGGGTTGTTCGTGGGAATCGGGTGTTGGTATGGATGTCGGGTAGCATCTGCAGTCTGAGGAGTGGATAATTGAATATTGAGTTCCTTTCGAGCAGGATGATCAGTGTGGAAATGTGTTTTTGCGAAGGTTGCTAGTGCTAGTGGGGAATCAGTCCGCGTGTAAGTGTTAGGTTTTGTGCAAGGTTATTTTGGGAGGTCGATGATAGCGACTGGTGGTTGATAGTCAGTGCCCTAAGTGGGGGAGAATTGGAAATTCTCCGGATGGTCGATAGGCTTGAGAGATTGTTTAGCTGCTTGGGATTCAGCGGTATTTCTGTCAGCCGAGAGCAGGCTGGTATAGGTGAGTAGCAGGCGTGCGGGGCAGGATACAGACCATTATTGATTCATTGTGGAAGGCCTAGGATTGGGTCGGGACTAAGTATATGGGATGGCGTTAGAGTTCAGAACCCTAGAGGGCTAGAACAGTATGCATGGGAGGAGTTTCCCGAAAGAGTAACTCGGAATATTGATTGCTAGTTGAGCGGTCCGGATAGACTAAAGGCTAGTAGGCATACCAGTCAGGCCGAAGGCTTGGTGAACGTTCCAGCTAGACTGAAGGCCCTGGAGGGCGGTCCAGGTCTACTGAAGGTTATGAGAGTGGTCCAGTTTGGCTGAAGGCCTGGTAAGGCGGTCCAGTCATGCTGAAGACTCTGCATGTGTCGTTATATCGGTGCGAGGAAATGGATTGAGTATGTTGCAAGGTCTAGCCCCGCATATTGATCGATCAGTGGAGATAGTGTATGCACTTGAGAGTCTTCGCGAGTGGATTCAGAGTATGTATGGTGCATGGGATAACGGTTATGCCATAAGGAAATGGTGTAGTAATGGGTGAGCACAGTGACACTTATGGTAGTGTCAAGGCAGCCAAGTGGATCTCCTTGGTAAGGAAAAGAAAAGGAATGTAGCTCCGAGGGGGAGTATAAGTCACGGAAGTGAAATCAGTAGTGCGAAGTTATGACTGAGGTGTTTCAGTTATGGTTATTGCGTAGTGTCTGCGGCGCTGATATGGAATCACATCCGGTTAGGATGTCTGCCGAGGTCACGGAAGGAAATTCTGAGGGTGTAAAGTCAAGAGGCTTGTAAAGGATGCAGGGATGGAGTTTTGGATTCCCAGCTTGATTTCGGTGAAGGAATTGTGTAGTAGTGGTTCATCCTGAGGGATGTTTTGAGGGTCATCAGTGTGATGGGTTTCCTAACCCGAGGGTGCTAGAGCTAGTTCAGCATGTGCATGTGATTGCAAGAGGAGAACTCATGGGAGTTGCTCTGAAGAATGTCTTTTTTTGTCAGCATGGAATCGAAAGAGTTGGACTCGGATCGGGAATCCGGTGGTGCATAGTTATTTACAACTCATATGGGTCAAGTAATGGTTGTGATTTGGTACAGTGTTGCATCATGGGTGGTACTCAGTTGTTAGGTGTGGTTATCAGAGGGTAAAGCCGGTGGCCGGCTTGTGACGGTGGTCAGGACACCGCGAGCAAGGAGAAAGTGAGTTTATGGTTTCCATGGTTGTGCCTTGAGGAGCATGGTTGGATTAATGTCAGGAGTTGTAATGCGAGATAATTTCTAGAGTTGAGTTGCCGCAGGCTTCGAGGACGAAACGTAATTTAAGTAGGGGAGAATTGTAACATCCCGGAATATCAAGAGTAGAGATGAAGGGCTAAAAGTGTAAATTTGAAGGGAAACTCAGCGAGTCCGTGGGTGGACTCGGCGAGTATGGTCGCGATTTTGGTCGCGTGTAAAGTGGCAAACTCGGCGAGTCGGCGGCTAGACTCGGCGAGTTGGTGCTGAGTGGAGAAAACCCTAATTTTGGAGGATGAGCCCTATATAAAAGACATTATGCCCTCTCCCTAGTCTCCTTACCTTCCCTTAAGACCAGAAAACCCTAGAAAACGCGAGTATGAAGGATTGGAGTGCATTTGAACCTTGGAAAAGAGATTTGGAGGAAGATCTTGGAGAGTTAGGAGGCTTGGAGCAAGGGGCTTTGCTTGGACTCGGATTTCATTGCTGTTGGGGCTTCCTTTTGAGGTATAATCTCGTTCTTGGACTGTTGTTCTTCTAGATTCATGATTCTTGGAATGCATGGGAGGCTTAGCTTGTGGTATCTTGAGTTTGAAGAGTAGATCTGAGGTTGCTACCTCAGATCTGGAGTGGAGGAGGTCTTAAGTGCATTAAAGTCGCTGTTCTTGAGTGTTTGGTGAATCCATCATGTCCCAAACCCTAGCCCTAGAGTGTAAAATGCCTAGATCTCTTTGGATTCACGTAAAGTTTGCCACTTTACGTGATGGATGGGTTGTTTAAGGGTAGATCTATGTTTTGGATCTTCTGCATGGCCTGGAAAGCTTCTGCATGGGTTAAGATCTAGAGGCACTCGGCGAGTCACAAAGGTGTACTCGGCGAGTTGCTTGAAGATGGACTGGAACTTGGCGAGTTGGAAGATCAACTCGGCGAGTAGGTTGAAGATAGCCTCGAACTCGGCGAGTCTGTTCTTGGACTCGGCGAGTCTGGTCGTGAGGTCCTAATATTCTTCTGGTTGAGTCATGAATCGGCGAGTCAAGGGAGGACTCGGTGAGTTAAGTGAGAGGGGACTCAGAGTTGCGAGACTCGGCGAGTCTCGGGGTGACTCGGCGAGTTGAGTCGTGGATTGGGGAAGTTCTAAGCATGGGGACTCGACGAGTCATTAGGTTGACTCGGCGAGTAGAGTCAGTCAGGAGGTTGACTTTGACTTTGACTTTGACAAAGGGTTGACCAGTTGACTTCCAGGGTTAATTTGGTAATTATTGGATTCAGTCTTTTAGGTATTGACAGTGTTGGAGTTTGAGTCGGAGGTTGCAGCAGCGTGATCTTATCCGTTCAGCCGGCAGTTTCGAGGTGAGTTATCCTCACTTTATCAACAAGGTCTAAGGCACCAAGGCTGGCCCTTTATCGGATTGAGATCCGGGTATCTGTTGTTATGTTATTGCTTTGATATGTTTGCATCCGGGTAGTTAGGATGGTATTCGTTAGAGACCTGGTTAAGGTCGGTATCCTGGTATATAGGATGATGCTATTCTAGTGACCGGTTAGGTCGGTATCCTGTTCAGAGTATGTTGTGTTACGTGATCTGCTAGATCGGTTTGACTGAATATGAATTGTTATGTGATTGTATGTTTATGTGCACATGGTTGTTTGGACTGGAGTTGGGTTGAGGCGGGTCCTGCTTCGTGCTGTAGGCCAAGATACCCAGGGCAGACCGGTTGTTCCAAAGGCCCAACGAGCGGTTCGGATAGGCTGTAGGCCCCACGAGGGCGTACCAGACGTGCCGAGGCTCGGAGAGTGGACTAGGCCGAGTGAAGGCCCGATGCGGGCGGACCAGTCATACTGTAGACTTAGAGAGTGGACCAGGTGAGTTGAAGGCCCGGTGCAGGCGGACCAACCACACTGCAGACTCGAAGGACATGACTAGACTCGGAGGGTGGACCAGGTGGACTGAAGGCCCGACACGACGGATCAGTCTCACAGTAGACCCGATATGCATTGTTGTTCTGTGATTCGATATGATATAGCATGTTATGTGTATGGTATATGTGGTTGGTATTTTGGGGGTATCTCACTAAGCTTTCGGGCTTACAGTTGTGGTTTAATGTTTTTCAGGTTATTCATGAGATTGTGGCAAGGCAAAGGCGTGATCGTACCGCTCCTTGTGTTTATGTTTTATAATATGGACCTGGGAATACTCTGATAATAAATGTATTAAAAACCTTTTTGTAATAACATTATTAAAATGGGTTGTTTTTGAAAAGTTTAAATTTTGTTGAAATTTTTGGTCATTACACTAAATATAATATACTATTAATATATTAAAAATAAAGTCAAAATTAGCCGACAAAGTCTAAATAAAAGTTGTAGATATTGTTTTCAACTACGCATGAATATAAAGAACGTCGAAAACGGAGCTTGTATGCGAAAGTTATGAATTTCTGAAGTTCGGGGCGCGAACCCCAAAGCTCTGTCAGAGTTCACGACGTGAAAACAGTGTTCACGACGTGAACTGACTTCTGACACCTTCTGGAGCCTGACATACGCAAGTTGCGATGACACACCTGATGAGGGCTTAACTCACGACGTGAATATTTGAGATTCACGATGTGAATCCAGAAAATCAGCCCTATAAATAGAAATCAAAGGGCAGCCGATTTAGGTTGCTACTTTATCACTCTCTCAGTCCCGATACCCTCTCTAAGCCCTCTTTTAACCCCCTGAAGCCCCGATATCATCCCGAGACCCGAAGCAAGTTCTGAAGATCCCGAGAAGAAAAGAGTTTATGAGCCGAAGCTCTACCTGCGAAAGGCCCGGTGTGTGAAGAGATCATAGTTTCACCAAAGAATACTACTTTTACAAGCCATAGTGCGGCCCGATCATCTTTTGATCATGTGAGTGTATAGTCACTTTCTTCTAACACATAAATATTAAGTATTTGCTAAGAAATACGTGCTATGTGTGTATATATCGTTGTTTATTTGAGATGATTGTGGAATGGATGAATTATATAGGTTTTAATGAGTTAAACCGTATATGTATTTTGTATCTACAAATATGTTGGGTAGAACATGGGTAGATAAGATTGTTGGTATATGATAAAATATGAGTTGGATCATGAGATAAAAGGGTAAAGAGATCAACTTGTTATAGTTTCGGAAGTATGGGTTAGATCAAGAGGCTAGTTTTAGATTCGAGATTATGGATTAGGTAATGAGGCAAATTTAAGATCTGGGAGTACGAATTATGTATTTTTGAACTATGTGTTCATTCGATAAGGTATCATGTGTATAGTCCCTTTTAGGAACGTGATCTTAATACGAGTATTGATTAAAGTATGATATATATATATATATATATATATATATATATATATATGTGTGTGTGTGAATTATTTGCTATTGCTCAAAACGTATGTTATATATATAATTGATGATATACAACGTACAAACCAGTTATGGTCCAATATGTGTTAAGATGTGTATATATGATATTATTACTTAAAAACTTTGTGTTAAGTATACTCAAAGTTAGCGTTTCCAAACAGAGATAGTATCGAAAATTGATTATAGGCATTGTAGGCTTGCCTAGTGATGGGTTAAGACTTAAATAGGGATGTTTAGTTCCATTAAGTTTGGACATTGGGTAGCCTCTTATTAAGAGTGTTGTGAGATTGATGATCGGTGGAGTACGTCCTACGTACAGACATACATTTTATGTATGAAGTCCTTTTCAAAGCTATGTGTATTGGGTGTTGCTTGTGCCAGGGTACTATTATGTTCTCGGGTACGAGTCCTTCGCATACCAGAGTACTATAATGTGCCAGAAGTATAATCATGTACAAACTCTTTTGGAAAATTTTGTGTGTCGGTTACAGGAGCGTACGGGAGTACTCTAGTAGTATTTATGCATACTTTTATTTTGAGAGAGCTTTGGAGTCAGCGTTTCTTTTATGAAGTGATCGACCGAGCTTCATATGTCAGTGTTTTCTTTCACGAAATAACTAAGGGAACTTTGTAGACTGCCTAATAAAGTGTGTCGGTAATAGACCACTGCTAGGTATGTTTGGTGTTATATTGTTGGATAGGGTGCGTCTGGGGGTGAAATACCTCATGATATTCAGGCCATTTCTAGGCAAAGTTCGATGATGGGATAGGTAGAGTCTGGGGGTATAATAGCTCATGATAGTCGGACCACGCCTACGCATTGTTATCTAGATAACTACCCTTGACTTAAAATGTCTTGTGGTTCTTTCTTTTACGATCAAAGATTCGTGGTAAAACTTATTCCATTCCCCTCATTTGATGTCTTTATTGATCCTCGGTTGCTGCCAGGGAATTTCCGAAGCAGCTTCGTCAGTTTGTGGTTTATATCGATTCCTTGGGCTAAATCTTGTATGATCATTGTATAGTGCCAGTATGTGGGGATCGACGGGATGGGATATATTGTTTTAGAAATATGATTTATATGTGTTTATAATATTAGTGGTTTT